AATTTAATAAAAATATAATTGAAAATATGTATAAATTATTTAAAAGAGTAATGTTTTAATTAATTTTCTTTTAAAATCGCGAGGTAGTCACCAATATTCTAGATCGTGAACCAAAGAGAATATGCCTGGGATTAATTGTTTTTTTTCCTTGAAATATACCTTTGTTGAAAATATCTAGACTTCATTCCTTCCTTAATGATGATAATGTATTGCCACTGTTTCCAACTACACTTATTAAGAACAATTGATTTGAACTAAGGGGGAAACTATTGCATAATAATGCAATAGTTTTCGTTTATACTTAAGACTGGACAGAGAGTAGCATGAGGCATTTTAGTTTTGAAATACCTCATGATTTGTTATATTCTCTTTCTTCTTCTTTCTTTCCCCGACGTCTCAGTTGAATGCATTGAGCACCAACCAAATCGCCGGAAGTTACATCGGCTGAGGCATTTTAGTTACTGTATGGCTAACCGTTTGGAGGGCTAACTAATTTTCTGTAGACCGAATTTTAATATATGCTTGTTTGGGTGACTCAAAATATCAACCCAAAATGTAAAATTTGTAAATGATGAAAATGAAAGTTTCTTTTCATGAAACTGGGTTTTGTAAATTGATGTTTTTTTAATAAAAGGTAAATTGATGTTTTGAACAGTTTATTAACTGATAGAGAGCCAAACGTCGCGTACACATTTGTGTAAAATGCTGGTAGAGATTCTTTATATGACCACATTTCTATATATCAAGAGTTCAGCTTCTGATGAATTGCTGAATGTTTTCTACATTGATATATACGTTTTAATATTTTTTGTTATATTTACAAAAACAATCAAATAATTAATTAAGATATTTAGGCATAAGTATATACCCTATTATCTTAACATTGCAAGAATTTGTATTACTAATTTCAGCACCAACATATAATCTTAACTTTCTTTTATACCAAACGTATTATATTTAGGCATAAGCATGTACTCTCTTTTTCCAGCATACAAAACGTACCTAACATTTTAAGTTTCCAACTTTTCTGTGAATGTTGATTACTTGTCCTTGATATATGCCACGCATTGAGTTGATTTTATAATATTTTAATTTGTAACGTAAAACACATGCCAACCTAATCATTTTCAATCATAATGTTAATTCAAAACCTTGTTTAAAAGATATTGAGTAGGCTTTAGGGCTAATCCAACTGTACGTCGTCATTAGTTAATTTTACAGTTATCATGCATAAAGATTTTTATTTTATGATTTTAGTCTTTTAGTTTAGCTTAAAAATATAGATTTTTCTTAACTTATAATATATATAATTTTGTTTAAAAAAGTCGATGGTAACAGTGCTTTACGTTTTGTAACATGAGTTAAGAATAAAAATTAACATTAAATTACAAGAAAAAATAATATCTAGTCATATAAATTACTTCTTATTATAGAAGAAAGATTACATATAGTAAAAAAATCTAGAAAGTAATTCGTTACTTGAGTGAATGAGAGTTAAAAAGTATACCGAATAAGTCTTGGAAACGAACAGAAAAAGAATGTGATTGGACGAAGAAGAAACTAAGGAAATCAACAGCACATGAAATGTGTGACCAGAAGACTTTATTTTCTGTGGCAATATAATGAAGACACGTCCAACATATTGGAAGCCTTGCTCTAATACCATATGGTAACCAAAAAAAAAAAAAAAAGAGTACTATATGTATTTCACCTAGAAGTGTCAATTAGAGGCAACTCTTGAAGGGCTAAAGTCTAAACAGACTAGCCCTATTAAGCCTGATTAGACTTTAAGGTTCCATTTTAGCTAGTCCAGCTCTGGCCCTTAGGATTGAAGAGTCAGCCCTGAGGGCCTCGGCCCTATAAATTTTTTCATTTTTTAATTTAAAAATTTAAAAAATGTATTTAAAATTTTAAAAAAGTTATTAGACATAACATTAACTCTACAAAATAAATTCAAGACAATACACACAATAATAAATTTAAGTCTAATCAAAAGTAGCAACCTTACAAAATCAACACCAATGACAATTAACCTTTATTAGCATTATTAGCTAAATCTTGATGATTTTTATCATCATCAACATTAAAATAATTTGATCCTTCTTATTGTAGAGCCTCATCAGTGGCAAAGATATTAAGCATTTCATATCTTCCTGCTTCATCATCATTATCTGCAACAAATAACAAACCAAAAACATAATTTTAATATATTTAAAATATTCAAAAATATTCAAAGTAAATCAATAATAATAAGTTATCCTTCAACTCAAAAGTCAAAACCATGCAAGGAGCATGAGTGATAGAAATCAAATGATTATAAGGAAGGCAAGCTAGGGTTTTTCATTTTCTAATTCTTTTTACTTTTAATGTGTAGTATTTATTTTTATATTTAATTATATATATATATATATATATATATATAAGAGGGCCTAAAAGAGCTAGCCTTGGCCTAAGCTCAATTTATTATTTTACATCTCAAAGAAGTAGCTTGGCCCTAGATTTTTTGGGCTTAAAAAGGCTGGCCTCATAGGTTCGACCCTAATTAATAGCTCTTTCACCCTACTATTTAAAAGAAATTATATTATACTTTTTAGTATTATATACTATGTTATTGGTCTCATTTTGAGAAAAATAATAACCATGAATTAACATGCATAGAGGAATTCCATTTGTTGATTGCATTAATATTCTAATATCAATAATATAATTATAGATATAGATGAGGCATATAATTACACTTTTTCTTTTGGCAAAGAAAGAGGGACTTAGCCAACCGATGTGATGCTGGGTAGATTAGATATTTGAAATTCTAAATGAATTGTCATAAAAAATGTAATCCAAATCCAGAAATTTTTATAATTTTAAATAATAGATTTGATCTAAATTTAAGTTCAAATACTAACTAATCCAAATTAACGTAACTTTAGTTTATTTATTTATTTAGTTTAATTTGCTTTTGCATTCGGTATTCATGATGAGATTATCAATCATCATGACCAATTCAAATCAAAGTTTTAATACATTGTTTTAGATAGTTTTTGGGTCACCAAAGGCCTAATCCTTGAATGACCATCAAGGCTTTTGTTCTCTTCTACTCTTCATCTTATGTAGGTGTCAAAAGGCACTAATTAGACAGTTTTTTTCCCCATATAGCATACATAATCAAATTACACCGGCTTGTTCTGAATTTTATGCAATGTTAATGATTTTATCTCGACATGGTGTTAAATTGATGAAACACTTTCTTGCTTTTCATCCAAAGTGCAAAAAATAAAAAGCTAGGTAGTCAAGTAAGAATTTATCCAATTTAAATGCCAAAAAATAAACCTATAATTTTTATTACTATTCATATGTGATTTTAATAACTTCATATATACATATATTTTACTTAAATTGAACCTTTTACATCATTTTTAATTTCTTTAGGTCTATAATTATTAAAATGTATAAATTCAATTTGATTTATTTAATATGAAATTGGGTTTTGCAAACATTTCTTGAACTGATAAGAGTCTCATCATCGGTCTGAACAGGTTAATGGATCAGCCTACTTGGGTTTACTTGATTGTCGTCTGCTTAATTATGAAAGCCCAATTTTTATTTTTTTTTTGGTAACGGATTGACCTTCTCTAGCGTCTTTGTACTTTGTAGTTCTATCTACACAACAAGCAAATGAACCTTACTTACCAAGATATTAGAAATTGAATCGATTATTAAATTAATTAATATTAAAAATTGAATCAATTATTAAATTAATTAAGGTATTGATTTAAAGTTAATAATTAAAATGATTATAAAAATAATGTATTAAATTGGTCAAGATACTAATTTAATTGTTTATTAGTTTAATTGGTTACGTCGGATTGATATAGATTTTAATAATATGTTATTGATTTAACCGCTGATCTATGCCACTTGATTACTAGGGGAAATGAACTTTTAAAATCTAAGGGAAGAAAATTTTAAAAAGGGAGAAGAGCCTATTCATTATCAGCTTGTTCCATTTTTGTTTTAAATGTTTCAAAATTTAAGAAATATTTATAAATTTTAATATGGAAGATATGGCACCTAGGACATATCTAGAACCAAATCTATGCGGCCCAAAATGCAAAACTGTACTACATTATAGTGGTGGCTAAAATTAATTTGATCATTGTTAACAAATAAAAACAAAGTAAATTTAGCTGATTTCTTGTAAGACAATGCTTGCCCCCAAATCCGTCACTGCTATATAGAGCATTGAAAGTTTGAAACTATAAAGTTTTATCATTTAATTTTTTTGAAAAAAAAATAATTATTGGTTCTTATACTTTTAGTGTGTTTTAATGTTAGTCCCTATATTTTTTTTTTGGTTGCTTCAAATCCTGTAAGTTTCATTTGTCCACATCATCAATAACTAATAGAGTTAAATTTACTAATGTATACATATCTTTGTTAACTCTGTTGCAAAATTGGTAAAATTATGATGAGGAAAATGACTATTAATTAACACTTTTGCTTGTCTGTCCTAACTATCGTCATCTTCCTTTTGAAACTACTTCAACAGTTCAACCCACTAAGCATTTAAGAATTCTGATTTATTGTTCTATTTATTTTTTGTCTTCTACTCATTTTTATACAACTCATCACAGAACAAAAAGTAATAAATTTTATATCTTATGGTCATATTTAAAAATATAAGAATTATGTTGCATACAAATGAAACTTAAGAGATTTGGAGAAATAACAAAAATATATAGAAACTACTGTAAAGATTTTTTTTTTTGGCCAAATTAAAATTATAGAGATAAACATATATATTTTCCCATATTTCTTGTTGTCTCCCCCTGGTCACATCGTTGTTGACCGTGCAAATAATTTACTTTTTGAATAGAAAACTGTCCATTGGCTGGGAAAAAAAACTAGATAATAATCGCTAAAAAAAGAAACAACGGCTGATGATTAAATAACTGTCATCCACGTCAGTCCCACTGTGTATTTTTTTTAGGAACAGTCAAATATTAAAAACATGTTTTTGTAGGAACATTTGACCAAGCAATCCTCATTACAAGCTAGAAAAAAACAAAACACAGACTCGACAAACTTACAAACAGGCCAAACAAAAGTATTAAAAAATGCAGCGCTAAACGTTGGACCCTCATGATACCGCTACCCATGAAGGTCCCCAGGAGAATCATCCATCGAGACGGTGTTTTTACAGCCAATGAAGGATTTTTTTTTTTTTTTGTTTTTGTTTGCGTGAAGATGACCCAGAGAGTGCTAGATTTGCGTTAACACAATCGATATCAGGCAAATGATAAGTTGCAGCTGGCAGAGCAGAACCGGACGTAGCCGCATGTGCACAGTGAACAGGACAAGTGACAAATCCATTCTCCCTGAAATGCGAGAAGTTCGGTCCTCCATCAAAATCATAGACATGCGTGACGTCATAGTATGTACGTTCAACCACGGGCATTAGCCAAATCCAAACCGTTGGATAAATCTGAGGGTCTGCGTTTGTGACAGCGAAGATGTGGAAGGTCTTCATGCATCTCGACAGCTGTCCCTTCTGAATTGAACTTAGAACAATGATCTTCTACATGCAAGATCCAAGAACCAGGTTTTGTCGAACATGAAGAATGTTCCAAATTTGAAGAAACAAATAGTGACCCATGTGGATTCCTGAACAATAAGGTTCGCCAATCAGAGACCTCATAGGAATAAGATGACCAATCAAATTTCACACGGACAGAATCTTCATGCAAATGCTTAAGGAACCAAGATTTTGCGAAGTTGAAATAGAACTTAGAAAAAGAACTAGAACACTGCTGATGAACATGTCCGATTTGATGCCAGTTGAAACAGATCCTGTTAAGACGTTCGTAGAAGATGGAGAAGTCGAACGCATGCCCATCAGAAAAAGTTAGAACGCCTTACAACTTTAAAAGCTGAGAAACATCCATGAGAACTTGAAATCTCACTCCAAATGATCCCCGGAAGCTAGAATCATCAAAACAGAGAAAAGTACCCATAGGGTTGCCAATTAAAGAAGCAAATGACTCGGCGTAAAATTGAATTGGCAATCCATACATTCGGACCCATAAGGGAACTAGATGAAAACAAACCTCCTGGAATCAAATAAAAAGTTGCCAACGCTGAACCAGAATTAAACAACCATTAAGGACCCAAGGACCATCCTTGAGAATGAACTGGAGATCATGCGTGCCATTAAACAGGAGCAAGAATCGATTCCGATAAGATTGAATGATCAGAACTTAGTCTCTTAACTTCCAAAAACGAGAGATGTAAACTTGAAGCTTGGAGGCATGGACCTCAAAAAAAGATAGTGATTCGAGTACCAATCAGTGTCCAAAAATTAGAAGTAGAAGACTCCATGAGAAAGCTACACAAGGTAGCAAAGAGAAGAAGCATCAGCAGAGCACCGCCAAAGCTTGAGAGAAAAAACTCATGGAAAAATATTAAAAAAAAAAAGACTCATTTAGCAGAAGCGTACCTTTGAATACCTGCCCATGCAATTGGGACCTGTAATAATATTTGAAAAATCAGGGAAAAAAAAAGTAAACGCATGCAAGCAACAAAAAATGCTGTGCAAAGACATAGAAGTATAAATTAATATGTATCTCAAAAAATTATCACATTTAAATTATTAAATCTAATTATATATATATACACACAAAAGATTGAGAATTGGTTCAAGTGTCGACCATAAGAAGGGAGAGCTATAAGATGATTCTTACTATTTATTATTAATAGATTATTAATTTAATACTAGCATTAATATTAATGTTAATATTAAATAGATGACGCGTGCCTGCGCGCACAACTTCTATTAGTCTTCGGTTACTCTGTCTTCTTGTTTGAACTTACGTAATTCTTATGTTTATGGTAACGATTATATGGCCCACAAAAAAAAAAAAGAGGAACAAGAAACAAAATAATACAATGACACATAATCAAACGTCATATAGTCATAAATTACTCCCCAAATGTTATAATTGCAAAAACATTGTCACGTGATGTATAAAAAACATTATCACACATGAAATCAAACTGTTCATTATTAATCTTCTACTGAGCATCACTTTCTTCTAATTATTATACTATCTTTTAATAAATCATGATTACATAATGCCAAAGGTTTATGAATTATGATAAGATTTTATAAGCATGATTTTTTTAAAAAAAAAACTACTATGCTCTTTTTTTGGTATAATTTTTTAATTTTTTTAATAATGATAATTTGTCATATTAGTGGTTCCACGTCTGCAGAATATCTGTTTTGTTGATTTGTTTTTGAATGGGTCTCATGTTTTTAAATAGGTCTGATCAATCTTATTAGGGTTGCATGCATGTTTATGCCTTATAGTAGTTATACCGATAGACAGGTATAAACTCTATATATATATATATATATATAGATAGTTCTAGCTATTTCAATACACTTTCCAATTATAAAGATATACAAGTATAGAGACTTAAACTCTGAACATAAGATGACACTAATTTTTGAAAATATAATAAAAGCAAAATCTGTCCGATGCTATTTTAAGATCGATTTTATCCTCATTCTCATGACGCAAACTTTCTTTCTAGAATTTAGGGCTTCATTCATTTACGTGTATATATGATATGATCTAACTCTTGTCTCCCCTACTTCATGCATTGGAATCTGATTGGATGCAACATATGTTCTGTTTGTTTTATTTTATTTTATTTTACTTTATTGATCAAAGCCATTAATTTGATATGTTATGTTTATTCTAGAATGTCCACTATTATTTGCCCGGTTTACTATATTATGGCTCCACTTCCCCACACCCTTTATTCATCAAAACAACCTGAACTTAATTCTTTCAAGTTTCTGATTAATGTTTAATTTTATTTCTGATAATACATCATCTCATTAAAATTGCAGTTAGGGGTATTTGTTATAGGTAGTTTGGCTTCCCTTCTTTTATCAACCAAAAAAATAAAATAAAATTGCATTTAGCCTGCTGACCGCCGTATTATGGACTAGCTATATTCTTGCGTACAATTTTACATATGCTTATGTACTAAATCGTTTTGTGGATTTTGAATGATTGTTTATTGCCGAATGAATTTATTTTAATGCCTTGCTTTAATTTATATATACTGAGTAGCTTTTTGTAAAATTAAATTTCTAAATAAGCTATTAGCTAATACATCCATAAATTCTAAAGGACCTGAATTAAATGTATAAAGGACAATAATGAGCTCCAAAATATAACAAAACAATACAGACCTCGAAATAAATTATATAATTTTTATTTAAATTTCTAATCATATTAATATACAATTTAACAAATTGTACTCCCTCCGATCAAAAATGTAAGGCATTTTTTGAGGAGTCGAATGTTAAAAAATGTAAGGCATTTTTAGTCTTTTGAGATGTAATCATTGCCTTTTTTTCAAAAGTATTCCTATTGATAATGGCTTTATATTTATTGTAGAGTATTTAATAGGAGTAAATATGAAAAGACAGGGTTAGTTTAAAAGTAGGTAACTACTTTATTGTGGAGTGAGATTCAGTTAAAAATGACTTACATTTTTAAATTGAGGGAGTATCATTTTCATAAATTAATTCAAACATTAAATAAACCAAGCAATTCCAACCATGTTATTTTGTAATATTAGCAATTTCAACCAATAATTTTCAATAATTTCAACCATCTGCTAGCGAAGGAAAAAAAAAGGAGAGAAAAGGATTTATAATGATTAATGACCAGGTCTAGGAATTGTTTTATGCAAAAATCTCATTTTTCCAATCCTGTGGTTCTAAGAAAATATGGGACCTAAATGGTGGTCATGAAATTCAAAATGAGGGCGGACACCTGATTATCATAAAGAAAGCGAATGAGCTGTTCATTCCAACATAGCGCAGCCCAACCTGATGACCTTTGCTGAGTAAGATCTCTATTTGAAGTAGGATTTGGATGATACCATATTGCTGAATGATTGTGTCAGCCCCCTCGCCAACTTTAATACCACTTCAGCTTTGAAACAATGAGATCTGCACAGGAAAATATCTCTCTCCAAAAAGGACGAAGCTAATGGAATTAAAACAGCATGAAAACTGCATAAGTTAAATACCCATCAAAAAATGTGTTTATATTTAGTGTTTGAATGTACCTTATGATTGTTTTTAATGTGAATCACATCTATTGAGTTTGATGTATATCTGCCGGCCGTTTTCCAGAATGCCCTGTGACTACTTTTTGTACCCCGGTCCCTGTTGAAAGCTAAGCACGTCACGTCTGGGTTCTGCCCCCTATTTAAATAGTACTCACAACTACATGCAGAACAAATAAGGACGTGGACTTTGACTTTAATTAATTAATTACAATTCTTCCAAGTTTCTGATCATTAATGTCAAAGTTACACGTACTTACTTTCACGTTCTGGCCGCCTTGTTCTCCCCGTATGTAAATAGCAGTCAAAGCGAGTTGCGAGGTCACGCTTGGCTCGGTTAGTTATCATCTGTCGCCGGAGAGAATTAGGATGAATTGGCCGGAAACACCTACACTCTCGCTCCTCGGCCGTGTGATTTCAGCTTTAACTCTTCTTAATTTAACCTTCAATCTGTCCCATCAGCCTCCTGCTGCTGCTGCTTCTCCTGATGACGATGGTCCTGAAGAGCAATCTCCAGAATCCTCTGATGCCGCCATACTGGACTCCAAATTCTCACCGGCTTCCGCTTCCGCTTCCGCTTCGTCTTCAATGAGAGGAACAAGGGACCGCTGTTCCTTCCATGAAATCGACATCGGGGATGCCTCTTTCTCTTCTTGCTCGGCGTCTTCTTCCAAACCGTCCCATCAAACTGCGGCGGCTTCTCCACAGTCAACTCCGCAGACTGACACTGATGCGGGCTTCCTGCCACAATGCCCAGAACCAGAATCCTCGGAAGCCAATAACGGCGAACTTGCCATCGCATCAGATTCCAACTTCTCATCTCTATTCACTCGCCACTCTTCAATCAACAATAGGTCCACGACTAAGGTTTCCTCTTCATGGAAAGTGCCCTCTCCTTCGTCCTGAGCAAACCCATCCACATCCATAGTATTCCAAATACCCACTGGCAGATTTCGCACGCGTCACAAGAAGAGAGCGGTAAGATGCGAGCTGGAACAAGTGGAAGCAGGGACTCCTCCTTCCATCCAATCTACATCGGGGATACCCCTTTCCCTTCATGCTTACCGTCTTCTTCCTCAGCAGTCTCTTCTTTCTCTTTTTCATCGAGAGACTCCTTTCCTGCATCTTCCACACCACTCCCCACCACCCAAAATTCACGGCCAGAGGCTGAAATGTCAACTGACGTGAACAATCCTGGCGGCCTCCATTTGATGAGCTCGGGTACTTCATGCCCATTATTGATTTCATCATCAGATGTCTCTTCTCGAGAAGAAGATAGTGCTCTATCATCTTTTTCATCTGCAATACCTGTCACACAAGATTCACAGCCATCAGTACCTTTCCACCTTTCACACCAATTGCCTTTGTCCTCCATCTTCCCTTCTCAACAAGGTCCTGCTACATCCCTACGAAATTCACAGCCAGCTAATGTAACGACAAGGACAGATCCTGATGATTCGCTCCCATGGGGCAAGATTTTATTTAGTGTTGCCGCGGCTGCTTTGGTGGGGGCTTCATTCACTGCTAGACACCTTACAACCGCCGTGAAATGCGTAGCAGTAATTACAGAATGCATTTCCATCTTTTGCATTTTGATCGTCCACAATCTGTTCTCTCAGATTCCCCGCAAAACTATTATTTTCCTTGAGGCATTTGGACAATCCATGGTGGCGTTGGGGCTTTTTGCTTTATCGTTTGACCTCTTACCTCGGTACCTTAAATTTTTCCCCGTCCTCCTCTGGGTTGGCGTTAGTATTTCGGCTTATTTTGGCGCTACTTCCGAAAGAGAAGGTGATGGCGAGCCCTTGCTCTATATATATATATATATATATATATATCTGCATATAACTTCACGTTGTACTTATACTAATCACTACCCACATTTAGTTTTTATGTATGCTAAAGATGGAAATAGTAAACAAATGTTAAAAGAGAGCTTTATCAGCCACGGGCGAACAAGTGTTTGAATCTGCGATTTTTCCAGAACATATCTTACTTAAATTTTGTAGTAGTAGTAGAAGCAGCTTTATCCCGCATCTCACTTAAAATTTGAAAATCTAGGAGCTTCATTTGTAATTAAGTGATTCATTTTTCCAAGAATCATTCTAGTTTCTTTGCTTAACAATTCATTCTTCTCAAATTCACTTCGGATTTTTTGCATAGGGATTCATGTATTTGATGTTAATATCTCTAGTTTTAGAGATTGTTTTATGAGAGATTATACTAAGGACTTAGCAATTTAGAAGAAACTAAAAGATATATCAAGTTAATTAGCAAGTGAAAGACTTTGTTTGAATAGGCTTTTGTTTTAAATCTCATTTGTAACTTAGTTATTTGCTCCAATCAGTTAGGTATTTGATGAAACTAGGCATCACTATCTTAATTAATTACTTAAGTGTAAAAACTTGAAATTCATGGTCTTAAAGGTGTTTCAGAGCATTTTTGAAACCATACGTTTAGAGGCATGTTATTAATCCTGGACTATCGTGTATTCGAATACTAGGTGCAGTATTATTCAACGATGCTTAGTCATTGTGAACTTGCTTTTTGCCCCTGGACAAATATTATTCAACCATATATCCTTGTTCATACTCGACTATTCTTTGTTGATGTGCTCTATGAAAATCTTATTCGACCATTTAATTTGCACCATTGTTCAACTACGTCTCTTTGCAAAAGAACTTGGTTTGCTTATGTTAAAACGTTATTAATGTGTGGTTTTGACCTTATTTTGGCATACGAATTGTTGGGATATTATATATGTATATATGGTTTCTTGGAAAATTCATTGTAATTGTAATTATGCGAAAATTACTGTTAAGTGGGAACGTTTATTAATGTCTATTATCCTAGAAATTGAATTGAAAATTGGTTTTTCCTGCTTGAGGAATTGTTATACATGATTTTTGAGACTTCTATTGCATATGTTGATTGTACTAGAATTGAGTTGAGGTCAGAGAGATGTGATGATGTCTGGGAAATTGGGAGATATGTTGAACCATTCATATTACGTAATATGCCACCACTAAGGAGTCCCGTGATTTGCACATTCTTATATATATATAGGGCTCTTGATATTATTCTATCTTTTGGTAGGGATTCAGAGAAGCCCTTGGAATAGTATGACAGCTATCTAGTGGTGTTTTAAAGAGAGAGAACTACTCGTGGTCTGGTTGTGGGTTCTGTAGCCTTTGACTGAGTTATATTTCACGATTGATGAGCTTGGAGCACGTAGTCCAATCATGTATATGGATGAAACCTATTGTGTAATTAAATAGACGTGTTCAATCAAAGGCAATAAGAAGATTATAAGAAAAGTTGAGTGAGTTATGCATGTCTTTCATCACGTTTATTATTTTATGAAGGTAGAAAAAGTATGATTATGTTTTAAGCAAGAATCTTGTTATATTTATGTCCTTCTAACTAACTCTTATTGTCATGTGATTACTAAGATTGTAATGTCTTGCTATATGATTTTCAATGTTTTTTCAGGAGAAGGATCAGTGGGAGACGAAGGGGGGAGACATTTGAGGCTTGAGGCTTTATAACATTTCCGGACATTAGGGCATTTTCTCTTGGCATGCATGTACTTTTGGAATCCTTTGAGCAGTTTGACTTATATTTAAGTTTTTGAATGGATCATGAGTTTCAATTTCCTATTATTGAACTTGATTTGGGATGCTATTTTTTGGTTGCCACTATTGACATTTTGCTCAGGGATTGAATCTTATGATTAAATATGGAATTGAAACCCTTATATTTTGTATGAAATTTATGTCAAAATGTTATTCGGAAATTGATCAATTTAAAGGTTTATGATTTGGCATTTTGGGCTGGCTTGCATGTTTTTGCCCTTCTGTACGTGCCATACCATACCATTTTGTAAAGTCCTCTCCATCTATAACATTGGAAAAACATAACTTTGGGTTCCTGCATTTTGCTCGAATTTTGTTATAGATCTCATATTTTAGCCCAAACAAGGTCCTTGCACTTTTTTTTCGGTGTTTAGGTCCCTATATTTTTATTTTTCGGTGGTTTAGATCCCTATAACTTCCCCATTGGAACTTAGAATAGCTAGCTAGTATTAAGACATACTCCTCTAATCCTATTTATAAAGCACTGAAAGAGTATTCATTTTGGTTCTATTTTCAAGGTGCCTCAATGATTATTATATTTATCTTTACCATTTTTTCCTTATTAAATGTTGAAAAGTTTATTAAATGCTAGAGTATTTTATTTTTAAAGTAGGCATATTTAATAGAAATAAAGTTAGAAATTTGTTGATTTGTTAAACAAAGTTAATAAGGTTTAAGGTTTTTTTTATTTTGGTAAAAAGATAAAAATGCTAAAAGTGAGTTATAAATAGGACCAAATGGAGTGTAATTTAGACTGGTTCTATATCTCAGCATACAAAATCAAAACTGTTTCTGGTTCCTTGTCTTGGGTTTGAGGGAGGCCTATTAGCTTAGTTTCTTGGTTTATTTTTGCCTATTTGATTGTAATTAATTAGCACATGGCTTGTCTTTTTCTATTTTCTATTCTCTAGGGTTTTTTCTCTAGGGTTTTTCTTTTATAAACACATGCAACTACAAAAGTTGAATTATAGAAATGAAATCAAGAAAATTATAGAAACTCTCAGGATTCAAGATGATAAAGATCCATATATATGTGCGCGCGTGCGCTCGCCCTACGTGAAATGGAAGGGTATTAAAATAGCTAGATCTCTTTATATAACATTTAACAGTGTTTGCTTTTGGGAAATTCTAACCGCATATTTAATTTATCATTACTTAATATATATAATATTAACTATTAAGAAGGTATTAAGATCAAAATAACACGGTTTTAATACTTTTCTGCCTCTTCTTTCCTCATTTCATTTTTCTTCCGACCACCCAAACCGGCCATAATTTCTTTCGCTTATAGTTACAATGGATCATATTAAACGGCGCGTCAGCACCATCGTTGGTAAGAAAAAAAAAATCAGTTCATTTTCTGCTTAAATTTTTAAGTTCTATATCAAGTTCCCCTGCAAACGTGCCGCTTTTATAGCTTTTTATGTAACATCCAAAAAAAATTCAACTCCCTATGTAATTAAACTAACAAAAAGGTAATTAAGTAAATTTAAGTGAAATTGGGTTGAGGATGGTTAGAGAGGGCTAATGGACCTATTGGGTTTGATTTTAGCTTTTGGAGAGTCCAGAGTTAAATTGGGCTACCTGGGCCCAAATGAAAGACTAAATCAAACGTAGCCTTTGTACCATCTATTGCTACGGATGGCCAGTGTATCACGATGGATGGTCAATTTCCATACTTAAGAGAACGTGTGATTGTTTCATAAATTAGAAAGGAGACAAAAAAGGACGAAGAGACACGTGCTATGCTTTGCTAGGGCATGAGTTTTTGGGAGATTTGAGAAGATTTGGGGCTTCTAATAACTTCTAGTAAGCTTCCTTTCCCTCCCTCTTCCTCTATGATTGGTTTTCAAGCTAGAGTTTGCTATGAAAGAGTAAATTTTGGACCTTTAGCACATTGAGTTTGAACTCTTTGACTTAAATAGAGTTAATATGAGTTATTTAAGTTATCTAAACCTAGGTTTGATATTTTTTAGCATCCTTGAGCTTGGGCTCGCATTTATGGACGAATTTAAGTTGTTGGAGAGCCATAAATAAGTTGGTTAAGTAACAGCAGCAATTAATGGTCCTTAATAAGTATAATAAAGTTAGTTGGAATTAATGAAGGCTAATACACCTAATGGATGTGAATAAATGCTATTGGTTGTGAATTTTGGATAGTCAAAGTATTGGAATTGGGAGTAAGAAGCATATTTATGATAATATTAATGGTGTTTGGCTTGGAAGCGAATTTTGTTTGAAGTATAAACTTTTGATCTCCCAAAAGTTTTAAGTAATTAGAGGAAATCCAATTTATGCATTTGTTTGTCTAATTAATTATAGAAGTTTTTTTAGTAGATTGAAATGTGTATTCTGCCTTGAAATGTTTCAAATGCAAGTGTGGCTTGAAGTTTGCAATTAAGTTGAGTTTTCTAAAATGTGATCAAATGAATTGTATGCAAATAATTATGTAAATTTGGAGTGCTATATGATCTCGTGGAAATTTATATGGAAGAGAATAATCATTGTTGATTTTGTGACATGTAAATGTGATTATGTGGAAAACATGATACTATGAGACAATTATGATGATTTGGCATGATTATGGTATAGATGGTTAAATTGTGGAATATGATATCATGCTTTGAGTTGAGTAAATGATTAGTAGCATTCTTGTAGCGTTAGTAAGCATGTTGTTTCATGATCATGGTTGGCGAGAGTTTGCCTTAGCAAAAGAAGTAATGTAATCCACGTGGTGTGGCCGATTTTTAGTGATCAAAGATTAGCCTTTATCCTATTGTTTATCGAGGGATTGTCCCACTATTTGTCAAGAAACTTGAACCTAGCTTTTCTCTACTTATTCTTCGAGGAGATTAGCTCAGGGTTAACAATGCCACAATGATTCAAGAATTGAGAAAACCATGGTCAGGGAGTGAGTATCTTGGGTTGTTCTTCATAATTGGTGAGCTAGGGTAATTCATTTACACGAACAAAACCCTATTTGATTTAATAGCCCATGATTAATTTTAGTCAAAGGTATTAGGAGTAGAGTTGGGAATTTGGGCGGGCCGGGTCTATTCGGGCTCGGCTCAAATAAGCCTAACTCCCTGAAAAGCTCAAATAGCCAAGCCCAGCCTGAATTCTTTTAGGCTTCAGGCGGCTCAAATACCCGAATTTTATTTTTAAAATTATTTTTAATTATTTTTTTACTTTAAAATTAATTACTTTATTTTATAAAAAATATAAAATATATTTTTTGATACTTAAATGATATCTAGGACTCAAATATATAGTATTTTAGTATAAAATGACCTAAAACTTAAAGAATTAATTAATATTTTATATATTTTTTAAAAATAAAATTTTCTTATTCGGGTATTCAGGCCAAACCCGAACTCGATCGGGCTTGGTCTAAATTTTTTTGAGCCTATTCGGGCTGGCCTGAATAGGCCTGAACATAAAAAAGCATCTTTTTTAAGCCTGGCCCTAAATTTTTTCGGGCAGATTCGGGCTAGCCCGTCAAGCTTGGCCTGAATTACCGGCTCTAATCAGGAGGTTACAAGGGAGACATTAGTCATGCATATCATTGTAATTAGTCACATGGTTGTTAAATTTGTAACAATGGCTACTTATGCTGTAGATGAACATGAATATGGTTTTACACACACACACACACACACACACACACACACACACACACACACACAGAGGCTATGCCACCTTATATTTTCTATGATTGATTGACATGCATGTGCATTAATTAGACTATTGCAGTTATTGAGTGCTTGTACCACCCATCTTCTTAACATTTTATAGACACTAGCTCGAGTTAGGAAAGAGGAAAAATACTGGAGGTTTAGGAACCTTATTCCTAGTGTAGGCCTCTTTATTTTGCTTTATATGTGTAACTAAGTTTAATATTGCCAACTAGGAGCATATTTTTGACATCACTTGCACCATTTGCATAATATGATGATTGTTCATATTTTTGGCCCTTTCATGTATGTGTTGTGATTTGAATAATCTAGGTACAGCTCAAATACTGGTGCAAGTGTGATAGTGATTATTTGGAAGGGTTGTAAATGAATTACCAATGGTTATGCATATTGATTGCCTCCCCCTATTATTTTTGACATCAAGGGGTTGAGGGTTGATTTTTAATGATATGTGTGATATGACTGCTAAGGTATATTGCACAAGTAGTCTTGAGTCTTTCAAGTGCGGTTTAGGTGCTAGGTTAGAGCTAATGGTACTTCGGATGAGTCATGGACACCCTTGTTTGTTAAGTGTGAATAAGTGGTTTACTTGCTCTTTGGTGTCCAACTTTTTAGTGTGAAATTAAATAATTTGGATATAAAACCTGTGCCACTAGCTAGGTTATGAAAATAGCTTTATATGGACATCTAGATCGCCTCGATTGGACATCAAACGGAGAAATTGGGTATGTTGAAAGTTTGGTCCCAAGTGTTATCAAATGACAATAGAATGTTGTCAAAATTATGCAATGTGCTATAGCGCATGGCATAAAGGAGAGTTAGTTGTAGCTCACCTCCTTTAGCCATGGCAGATTCCTTTGATTGTGCTATTTTGATGTGTTTTTTTCCAACCTATTTTCAAAAGTTTAAGTGCAATATGGTATCTTATGCTTTCATATATGTTTAAACTTTGATTTATATTGGTTTTACTTTATTTTAAAGTATTTCAACTATTAAAAATTTGGGATTCCATACTTATTATTATGCTTGAATTTTGTTTTGGTTAAACAACAGGGGTAATTAGGATAATATTACATTTTAGAACCTAACACATATATTTTACTAAAAGAATATTATATATTTCATACGCTAGTTAACATTTTTAACACATTTGACAACATAATAAAACTTGAAGATCGTATTGGATTAAAAATAAAAAAAGAGTAAAACTGTAATTAGTTTGGTCACTAGAGTTATCGCATTGCAAAACTTGTTCAAAAACACATTTTATTTTTCAGCTCATTCGAGAAAAAGAAGTCATG